GGGAGACTGCTGGGTGTACTTGAGGCACTCCAAGGAGGCCACTAAGATTATTAGACCCACACAGGGGTATATATGTATGGAGACAGGTAGGGGCCAATCCTGTACACTTTGATAAGGAGTTCGGGGTTTTCCTACGTGCAGGGGAGCCTGGCTACCGAGGAAAGGGGTCTAAAATTAGGTGGGGCTCTGAGAGTAGGGTATCGGCCACAGCTGTGTGATTGTGGGGGGTGAATATTTACCCTCCCTAACTCTTGCAGTCCTTCTGCTGGTGCTCCTCTTGCTGGTGAGGAAGAAGAGGAAGGTGAAGGAGCCTCTTCTACTCCCAGAAGATGACACCCGTGACAATGTCTTCTACTACGGTGAAGAGGGAGGTGGTGAGGAGGACCAGGTGAGGCATTGGGAGGTCTAGGGGGTTGGGAGATGGATGCCTCCAGGGCCACTGGCAGGGATGGTTGGGTCAAGCAACTATCCACATTAGCTGCATTGACCAGACTCTGACCTAACACATCAGTCTTCATGTAGGATTGACCACCAACTCTTCTCTTCTGAGAGGGTGTCTGGTCCGTAGCTGTAGTCCCTTTGACCCCAGCCAAGGTGGCCTTGAGCCTGTGCTTAATTTGGGTGGAGGGGCTGTTGGAAACAAGGGCTTCTAAGTGCTACCCGTGAACCAGAACACCCACATGGCAGGGGAGTGGGCTGAAACATAAATGGTGGGGAGCTGCCTTCTCAATCCCATGTTCTCCTTCACATCCATGAAGGACTATGACATCACCCAACTCCACCGGGGTCTGGAGGTCCGGCCTGAGGTGGTTCTCCGCAATGATGTGGCGCCAACCTTCATCCCCACACCCATGTACCGTCCACGTCCAGCCAACCCAGATGAGATTGGGAACTTCATCATTGAGGTAAGGCCTAGGGGGCCAGCTGAGGGCAGCCCTTTATTCAAGCACCAGCAGCATGAGAGAGAGAGCATGGGCTTGGAGTCTTGACCCCGGGTTCAAATCTTGTCTCCCTCACCAACCAGCTGTGTGACCTCTGGCATATTTGAGTGACTTCTAGGCTTCTGTTTTCTCCTCCATGAAATCCTAAGTTGCAGAGTGGTTAAACAATAGGTTATGAATTATTTATTCATTTATTCAACAAATATAGCAGTTGTTAGAAAACTGTGAAGCCAGACTACCTGGGTTTGAATTTTTAAAGGTCCCAGGTGATCCCAGTGTGGACCAGATTTGGGGACCCTCTGTTATAGGTTGCATTTTCTTTTTAACTTGAAAGAGAGCGCATGAGCAGGGGGGAGAGGCAGAGGGAGAGGGAGAAGCAGATTCGCTGCTGAGCACAGAGCCCTAAGTGGCCTGATCCCAGGACCCTGAGATCAGGACCTGAGCCAAAGTCGGGTGCTTAACCGTTGGAGCCACCCTTTTACAGGTTGCTTTAAGGATCGGATGAGCAAGCACCTGAAACGGTGGTTCCCAAACGTTGGAATCTCCTGGGAAACTTCAAAAACTACTGATGTCTCTGACTCCTTACAGAGATTGTGATGTAATTGATCTGAATGTGGCCTGGGCTTCAGAATTTCTTAAAAATTCCCAAGTAGGGGTGCCTGGGTGGCTCAGTCAGTTGAGTGGCTGCCTTTGGCTCAGGTCATGATCTCAGGGTCCTGGGATCGAGCTCCATATTGGGCTCCCTGCTCTGCGGGGAGCCTGCTTCTCCGTCTGCCCCTCCCCCACGTGTGCGTGTGGGGGGGGATGCGCACGCGTGCTCTCTTTCTCAAATAAATAAATAAAAACTTAAAAAAAAAAAATCCCAAGTAATTTAAGTCTAAGAACCACTTGCTTGGCATGTAGCCTTTACTGGGTAATGATAGTTATTATTGATAATAGCTGAGTATCTCCAGTGTTTTTAACTGTGGTCACATGTTTGATTTATCTGAGGGACTTTGAAAAACAGCAAAGCCTGGAATGCAGGGATTCATTTGTTTTTTAGGCTGATTTTTTTTAAAGCTCCCCAAGCTTAAAATTAAATATACAGCCAGGGTTGTGAGAACCACTGAACTAGTTACATGGGAGATAGATGATAGGCGCCTATCACAGCCTGGTACCTCATTAGCAGTAAATGGAGGTTTTTCTTTTTTCTTTTTTTTTTTCCTTAAGTAAGCTCTACACCCAACATGGGCCTTGAACACAGACCCTGAGATCATGAGTCTCATGCTCTACCAACTGAGTCAGCCAGGTGCTCCATTAGTGGAGGTCCTAAATACGAGGAAGGAAGGCTAGGAGGGAGGGAGAAAAGATAGATTGATGCATCTTAGAGAGTGTGAGGAAGTAGCAATAGGCAGAGGGCTTGGTGGGCAGTCAAAATACCTTACCCTGGCTTGAACCTTTCTGCTTACCTTTCTTGCCTTCTGGAAGTAGCCTGGTGGTTGGACTCTGTTCTTTAGCATGAGCATATTTGCTGTGCAAAAACAAAAGCATCTGGGGAAAGTTGCTCAGAGCAGATGGTTTGAGAAAATGCCTTGGAGTTAAATACCTGGAACTTTTCCCTCCAGTTCGGTGAAGACCATTTCTAGAATGTCTCTGGACAGACATTTAGATAGTTTGCAAACATGATCTCATTCAATCCCCACATCAACTGTGGGGAGGGAATCCTCTTGTTAGCCTCATTTTACAAATGAGGAAATAATGTTCAACTATGTGCCAGGTACTATTCTAATAAGCACTTAACATATATTTACATGTATTAATTTATTCCTCTAAAACGATATGAAGTCTCCCATTTTAGAGACAAGACAAAAACAGCATGTAGAGGTTAAGGGGTTTGTCCAAGGTCACAAAACTAGGGTGTGATGTCAGAGTTCTGACCACTGGCCTGTCCCACCAAGCAGTTGCTGTATGCTAGGCTCGGTGCTCAATATTTATGTGCATTATTTCATTTCGCCTTTCAAAACCTTAATGGAGGAGCGCCTGGGAGGCTTAGTTGTTGGGCGCCTGCCTTCGGCTCGGGTCATGATCCCAGGGTCCTGGGATTGAACCCCACATCAGGCTCCCTGCTCCATGGGAAGCCTGCTTCTCCCTCTCCCACTCTCCCTGCTTGTGTTTCCTCTCTCGCTGTGTCTCTCTCCGTCGAATAAAAGAAAAAAAAAAAACCTTAATGGAGGGGTGCTTGGATGGCTCAGTCCATTGGGCGTCTGCCTTTGGCTCGGGTCGTGGTTTCGGGGTTCTGGGATTGAGCCCCGCATCAGGCTCTCCACTTAGCGGGGCATCTGCTTCTCCTTCTCACTCTCCCTCTGTGCTCTCTCTCTCAAATAAATAAATAAAATCTTTAAAAATACAAACACACCTTAAATGGAGGGAAGAGATGTCCTCACAGACAAGGAGAGGCAGGCTCAGCAGGGGGATCTCAACGTGCCCGAGCTCTCACAGCTGCTGGGGTCTGCCCGCTGCTCCTAACCACCCGCTCTTGTCGCCCCAGAACCTGAAGGCAGCTAACACAGACCCCACGGCCCCGCCCTACGACTCCCTGTTGGTGTTTGACTATGAGGGCCGCGGCTCTGATGCTGCCTCCCTGAGCTCCCTCACCTCCTCAGCCTCTGACCAGGACCAAGACTATGACTATCTGAACGAGTGGGGCAGCCGCTTCAAGAAGCTGGCCGACATGTATGGCAGTGGCCAGGACGACTAGGCCACCTGCCAGCAGTCCCAGGGACTAAAGGTTGGGCCGCAGGGGCATCTCCAAGGAGTCTGATTCCTCCCCTCAGCGAAGGACTTGGGAGCTTGTCAAGAAGTGGTCTTAGCAACTTGGAGGAGAGAGGTCCTCAAGTCTGACATTAAGGGTTGGTTTCTAAGCCTTCCAGAATGGAGGGACATGGGCAATTTGATTTCACCTCTGGAAACCTCTCAGACTAGGCCAGGGTTGCCTCCGAGGCCAAATTTCTGGGAGTCTATAACCTGCCATAAATGCCCAGACCGACTCTGACCACCCCCCAATACCCCGCGCCTCCCGGTGATGATGATCTCTCTGGAATGGACCCTGCTCCTTAGATGAGGCCTCTTACTGCACCCTGGACTTTTTTTTTTTTTTTTTTAAATACTGTCTTCAGAAAGTTAGAGGCGGGTCCTCAGCGTTGCTCCAGAAGCCCAAGCCTGAGCTGCTCAGCTCATGTGCCCTCGTGCACTTCTCTCTCCTCTCCAGACATCAAGGCCTCCTGTTGGAATGAATTCCTGCGTTTTTATACTGAGCGCGACTATGTTGTCATTTATTTTTTATTTTCCCTACTGAGTACTGTAGATAAAGGGTGATGACAATCGTGTAAATGTACTACAACTTTTTTATTAAAGGAATTTTTCCCAGAGGTGCCTGGGGAGTGAATTTCTTTTTATTAGAGTTTTATTGCTCTGTGAGTCACATACCACACCATACACCCACTTCAGTGTCCAATTCAGTGGCTTTTAGAATTGTCAGAGTTGTGTACGGGGAGTGAGCACTTTTAACTCTGCTGGCCTCACCCAGCTTCCTCCCGAAGGGAAAGGAAGCTCAGGATGTGTATACATGTCCAGTTGGGCCTGATGAAGGTAAATCTATCCTCTCTACAATTTTTTTTTTTTTTTAAGTAATCTACACCCAACGTGATGCTCGAACTCACAACCCTGAGATCAAGAGTCACATGCTCTTCTGACTGAGCCAGCCAGGCGCCCCTCTCTCTACAAATTCTGAGCTGCTCTCCTGTGTGGGAGAACCATTAATCCCCTTACCCCTGGGCTGAGCCCCACCAGAGCTACAGGCAACATCTTTTCTGGAACAGTGGCTGCTCTCGGGTAATGCAGTATGGGAAGAGTTCCTCTTCCGTGTGGTGGGCTCTGTATCAAAAGGCAGGGAGGGGTCCGATTCTGCTACTTCCTAGCAAGTCACATTTAACTTTGACTTGCCTTACTACATTTTTCATGTATCAAATGGGGAGTTTTTATGGAGATTAAATGACTTCATATCTGGCACACTGAGTGCTATTTGTGTTCACTGGTAACAGCTACCATTTATTAATACTTTTTAGGGCCACATAACTTTCATTATTTCCTTTAAACAAATTCTCACAATTGCCCTCTGAGGGGATTTTCCTCCTTTAAAGAATGGCTTCATTGTATTTTTTTTTTTAAATGACACCTGATCATCATCAGAATCAAGCCAGACAGAAAATTAGAGAACTTACCAGGATGTACGTGAAATTGGAACATTCCTAACAATACGGGGATGCAGGAATGGGGATGAAGAGACAGCAGGGAAAGAACAATTCCACATGGGCCTTTGTTAAAGCGAAGTTTAACTTATGTTCAATGAACCAAGAGAAAAGAATGTGAAGTGAAGCCAAAAGGGATTGCTGAACTTGAAATAAAAGTTTTCGTCCCCCAACAGTGACTAATTCTTTAAAGCAATGGCACTCAAAATGCAGTTCCTGGACGGGCAGCAGCAGCATGAGCGGCTGAATCAGACGCTGCAGGTGGGCCCCCGAAATGTGACTTAACAGGACTTCCAGGCAATTCTGATGCACAGTCAAGTTTGGGACCCAGGCTCTGAAGGAGGAGACGGAGGGTGTCCTGAAGCCTCAGGCCCTAGATGGGAAATCAGAGGGGAACTCAGTTGGGTGAGAAACCTTCCCACTGCTCCCTGGTTCACAGCACCTTAGCCTGCAGGTCAAGGCCACCACCTGCCTCTCTGTCCAGCCGCAGCCTCTGGCTCTGCTGGCCTCCATCTCCCTCCACCACGGCCCTGCTGCTCGTGCCGATAAGGTGAGAGGATTAGGTGTCTCGGCCAGCAAACACCTGCTGCCCCTTATCTTAAACTCCTCTCTCAAATGCCCGAATAAAGCCTGAAACCCTATCTACAGTTGAGACTAATAATAAAACCAAACAGCCACTGTGCAGGCTGGCCTTCCTCCCCTGGGATTTTTGGAGGGTGTTGAGGAAGAGTGGCCTTTTCTACCAAAGCCTGAGCTCTGTGGATGGATCTAGATTCCCCTGGCAATGGAACTAGTCACCACCCTCTGAGTGATTTGGGAAAAAAACAAACCTGGGCTCTGTGATGGGTATGGATGTTACATCCCTCTCTCACTCTGGCCCTGCTTCTCCTCTGCAAAATGGGATTTTAGCACTCTGGTCTTTAGGGCTGACATAAAAAGTCAAAATATGGTAAGTTACCAATGCTAATCACTCAAGAGTAGCACCCATAATTAATCAATCTCGCTGGCCATACCAGTGGGGACGGCCTGGATGTTTGACATTACATACCTGGAATGTTGATCCTTCATATTTTGTGGTGCAACAATTTGGTATGCATCCTTCCAACCTCTCCCTCCCACGTTTCACATGCATTTTGCATTACAGCTTTCATAACGGGGCCTAGGAGGCTGCCTTACTGTCTGCGACATAATCCAGTTGGGATGGGTTAGCATTTATTTAATCCCACCACCAACCGTGGACATTAATGATTCCAGTCTTTTCCTTAACAATGTTGAAATTCCCTGGAGCATCCAGCTCTGCAAATGCTTCAAAGCCAATCCTCCAATGGCTAGGGATGGGGGAGAAGAGTCCCTGTGGCCCTGTTTGGGATCAAGGCTGCCCACTTCCAAGTGGTGGGGTCAGTCCAGGATGACAGCTTGCTGCTGAAAAGACCCCCTCAGGCTCATTCTGTTAAGTGATTCCCCCCAAGACGTAAAGCTAAAGTCACAGATCCCTAGTCCAGTGAAAAAGTGAAATTGTAGGGGCGCCTGGCTGACTCAGTCGGTGGAGCCTGAGACTCTTGATCTTAGGGTCTGGAGTTCAAGCCCCACATTCGGTGTAGAGATTACTTAAAAATAATTTTTTAAATGAACTTGTTGGAAGAAGGGGTCAGGTAGCTGAGAGACCTGCCTTTTGGCCTCATCTTCCCAGTGATTCTCCTTAACCCCCAAATCCAGAGCACTTTGGAAATTGCCACTAATCCACCCCTGTCATTTTTCAGATGGGAAAAGATAAGAGTTTCCAAAAGCAGATCGACCAGCAGGGCTGAGATGGGCAGAGCCCAGGCCTCCCTTCTCGCATTTTCCCTTCCTGCCTACCTGAGCAGACGGTATGCAGATAGGCCCCATCTCCCCAGGTGAGCTTTGTCCAGGCAACTTGAGGGGGCCTGAGGGAAATGACTATCATTCTTGGAAGGTGGGCAAGTAGCTGAGGCCTCAGATTCATGGCCTCTTGTGCTAGGCATAGACTTTCCTTAACACCCCCAGCCCCACCCCCGCCCACACAGCAATGCTGCAAGAGGATCTGGGCAGGGAAATGCTGAGGGATGGCCAGTCAGGAGGGGGCCCTGAGGTCAGCTTGGTGGCTGGCCTGCCGTTGAGCGGGTGGGGGCAGTCACTATGGAAAGCCCCCTTTTCAGCCCACACACCCTGTATGTCCAGTTCCAAACTCACTGGGGAACTCCACAAAGCCAACTCCTTTTTGGCTAAAGGTAGAGCTACTTTCCACTAAGGAGGCATGGTTCAGGGCACAGGTTCAAATCCCAGCACTTCCAGTGTATGACACCTTAGACAAATCTCTTAACCTCTGTGCCTCACTCTTCTCATCTGTAAAATGGAGGAGTAAATGAGTTGGTATCTGTAAAGTGTTTACAAGGATGCCTAGCATACAAAGCTGCCTCAGTGTTATCTCTCCTGTGTGATTGCTGACACACTGACAGGGCCGGTTACTGCTTCTTTATCTCCTCTGAGTGGAAACTGCACGTCCCAACCCGAGGGACACATTTCCTGTCTGCACAAAGCCGCTTCAGGCGTCAGGGCGGCCGTGATTTCCCCGTAAGCCCTTCCCCACGTGCCCAGCAGAGGGCACTCTTCACCCGAACCTTGGGACGGCCGCGCGCCTTCCAGCCTGGAGACCCGGGGGCAAGGTCCACCGGAAGGGCGTCTGAGGGCGGAGCCGTCCCGCCAGCTGGCCCGCGCCTGGCGCGGGAGTCCGAGGTGTGTCATCAACTGCCGTGTACGGTCTGGTGGGAAGAGTGGTGGCGGTGGGCGGCAGTCAACATTGGGCGATGACTGGTCATGCCCTCCATGTCCCCAGAATCAGTTACCTACATTCTCCCACCAACATCCCGGGGAGAGTTTTCATGCTTCCCTTTGTAAAAGGAAATTGAGGATAAAGAGAGTAAAGGCCATACACAGACAGGAAGTGATAGAGACAGTTTTGGGGTCCAAGTCTCCTTGATTCCCAAGTATGAGCTCTTTTTACTATTAAGAATAAAAACTCCAGGGACGCCTGGCTGGCTCAGTTGGTGGAGCCTGAGACTCTTGATCTTGGGTTGTGAGATCCATGCCAACCATGGTGTAGAGATTACTTAAAAATAAAGTCTTTAAAAAAGAAGAAGAAGAATAGGGGCGCCTGGGTGGCTCAGTCAGTTAACGTATGCCTTTGGCTGAGGTCATCATACCCGGGTCCTGGGATCGAGCCCCACATCGGTCTCTCTGAGCAGAGATTGCAGCTATAATGGGGTGTGGGAGCAGGCAGGCTGTGGGAGAGGGTCTTCATATAGGGCATAGGGCCCCCTATGCAAGGCAGAGTTGCCCCCCCCACCCAGACCTTGAGACTCTGAGGCTCTGACACACAAAAGCCACAGCACTTCCAACCACTTCTGGGGCCCCCAAGAATATGTGGGGGCGTTGCCCCAGTGCGTTTTTGTTCATTCATTTAACAACTATTTGCCGAGCATGTGTTCTGTGCCGGGCACTGGTCTAGGTGCTGGAGATAGAGAAATGCAGAAAATATTCAAAATCCCAGCCCTAATAGTGTGTAGGGCCCACATACCATATGAGTTGACTGAACTGTTAAAGGTAGTCTGTCTTCCTACTGGAACAAGCATGTCTTCACAGCAATCTGGATCTTCACACATCTGGAGTACTGGTCCAGAATGTGACTGCACAGGCAGAGTTAGCCCTCAGCCCAGGAGCAATGGTCAATCCACTTTTCTACACCCCCACCAGGCTCTATCCCATACCATGAGGTTCCTGTGTGTACACCCCAGCCCACGCATCCAAGCTTTGTCCACTGATCCCCATAGACAGCCTTCCATCCGCTGGGCCTAGGAATATACACCTGGGCTATGTTGGCTGCCCTTTGGACAGCCCTGGGAAGGGCCTGGGACCATTTGGGCAGGGAATGGTCTAGAGGGCAGGGAGGTGGACCCAGGTTCTAGCAGTCTCAACTTGGCTTCCTGGAAGGACGGGAGGGCCAGAGCAGGGCCTTCTGAAGCACAGTGCAGAGGCCCTTCTAGGCCAGTCTAAGGGCGATCCAGCTAACATTCAGTGGGAGAGAGACCATAAACAAGACAAATCAGTAAAATACATGGAACAGTGAAAGGTGAAGCTACAGAGGAAGATCAAGTTGGGAAGGGGGGCAGGAAGGACAGGCTGGGGGTGGGGCTCAGTTCTAGTAGTCAGGGAGGGCCTCACTGAGAAGGTGGCATTTGAGTAAAGACTGGAGGATACTAGAGAGCAAGTATGTTTGAATAAGAGGAACAAGTGCAAAGGCCCTGAGGCAGGAGTGTGCTTGGTGGGATTCAGCAGGGAGGCCAGTGTGGTTGGAGCAGAGAAAGAGCAAGAGTGCCCTGAGATGAAATTAGACAGGTAAGGAGGGGGGGCCTGGGGGGGCCCAGTCCTGGGCCCCCGCCTCCACTCCAGGGCTGGCGGCTGAGTCCAAGAAGTCCTGGGAAAAGGCCTGACTCAGCAACCTGGGTTCTATCCCAGAGCTGGCAAAACCTGATTCCCCCCTGCTCCATCCTCAGCCACTGAGGAGGCACCAGCCAGGACCTGTCCAGGCTTGCGGCAGCTGCAAAGCTGGCAGGCAGGAGCTGCAAGATTCTTTTCTCTCAGGAGGGGAGCCTGGTGGGAAAGGGTCCCCAGAGTCCGGTGGGGCAGAGTCCTGGTGAAGAGTGCAACCCCTAGGGGTGGCAGAATGGTTGTGACTCACCTGAGGGAGTGACCTCCAAGCCTCGGTTTCCTAAGACAGCCCCTCTCTCCAAGGGCTGGGAGGGAACACTTGGAAGGCACTCTGCGCTCGGCCCGGGAGTGCAGGCCTCGCTCCACTGCTTGTCCTTAGGCCTCCTCCAAGGTCGGCCCGGCCCGCGGCTGCCCCAGCATTCCTGTGCCCACTGCCCAGCTGGCCGCAGGGGTGTGGCAGGCCTGGCGAGGAGTCCGAGAGGGAATGGGTGCGTCAGGAATGCTGGGGCTGGCTTCCCTCCATTCCGTCCCCGCTGCCTTCCGGTAAAGCCGGGCCAGTGGGTGTGTGTGTCACTCTGTGTCACCCTAGAGCCTGACAACAGAGGCGCTGTGGGGAAACAATGCTAAGTGATGCCAGGAATTGTTATCATTAGAGCTCCAATGAATTAGGCACCTACCAGGTACCAGGCGATATGCTAGATTCCTCTCCAAAGCAAAACCAGAGTTATAAAATGTCCACAGGACCCAACCCCTTTGCCTCTGGGACCTCACCCCCTGCTGCTCTTTGTCTTCAGCCTCCTGCTTCTTCGGCCTCCTGCTTCTTCGGAACTAGCCTAGGCCGGCTCCCACCTCCGGGCCTTTGCATTTGCTGTGCCCTCTGCCTGACATGCTGTTCCCCCCCAGATATCTCAGGGCTCTCTCACCTCCTTCAGGCGTCATCCAAATGTCAACCTGTCAGATATTCTATCCCTGGATTTATCCTCTTTAGAATTGGCAACCCTGCCCCTCCCACCCTGCCTTATTTTTCTATAGCTTTTATTATTTCCTACCTTACTGTACTATATATTTTATCTATTGTCCTATTTCGTTTTTCTCCTCCCCCCACCCTTTGAAGATTAGCTCCATGAGAAGAGGGATTTTTGTCCCTCTTCATCATCACTCCTACATCCTCAACCCACAGAATAGTCACTGGAACATAGTAGGTAGTCGGGAAATGTTTATTAAATAAAGGAGCTTTACAACTCTCCAGGGCAGGTTTTATACATTCCTTTTTGGAAATGAGGAAATTGAGGCCCAGGGAGGCAGGGCAAGTCACCTGTGGTCATGTGCAGGTGGTAGGCAGCAGAGCTGAGAGAATCCAGAAATAGCATGTGTGACATCTCATTTAACCCTGACAGCCTGGAACAGTAATGATCAGCCCATTTTACAGAGGAGCAAACTGAGTCTGGAGTGGGGCACAGATGGGAGAGGAAGTTGGTTCTGTCTGTTCTGACCAAGCCGTTGTTTCCTGGAAGGTGGGCTGATGTTAGGTGATACATGAGGCAGGTATTGAAGTATTAAATGATCCTAAATCACACAGAAAGAAAGGTATTCCATATTCAATTTTCTTTCAGTTCTTCTTGCATCAAGGAGAGTCCTTTTTGTGCTTAGCAAGTCTAAGGACTTAAGACTTACAGTTCTCTCTCTTAACCAGAGAAAGAAAGCCTAGAACAACATTGTTCTGTCATTTTATTTATATTTACTCTCTAGGTGTGGCAAATGATGCTCGTTTTTCAGTTACACTATTGTAATGTTTTTCTTTCTTTTTTTAATGTTTTTCATTTAAAATATATTTCCTAAAAATTTTTTAATTAAAAAATTTTTAAAAATAAATAATTTCCTTAAGTTTTAAATACTAAACCCATTTAAAGAAACAAAAGTAAAGATTAGTAAAGTTAGAACTCAGGGATGCCATAAACAGTGGAGGTGGTATTTCAAAGAATGAAGCTGTAAAATTGAAATCCATGCTGTACATTTTACATGTTCTTTCGAAGAGTATTCACTTTCTTTGGAGGTGGTGGCAATTTACATCCAGAAAGTAAAAGAAAAATTATTTCTAATCTGGGTGTTAAAAGTTGCCTGGGGCGCCTGGGTGGCTCAGTCGTTAGGCGTCTGCCTTCGGCTCGGGTCATGGTCCCAGGGTCCTGGGATTGAGCCCCGCATCAGGCTCCCTGCTCATCAGGAAGCCTGCTTCTCCCTCTCCCACTCCCCCTGCTTGTGTTCCCTCTCTCGCTGTGTCTCTCTCTGTCAAATAAATAAATAAAATCTAAAAAAAAAAAAAAAAAGTCGCCTACAGTGCAAGGGAGAGTAGGAGGGAACTTTAGGGGTTGGAGAAATCCAGGAAGTCTTCCTGAAGGAGGAAGCCCTTTGAGTTGGCCTTAAAGGATGTATAGGAGTTAGATAAGGGCTGAAAGAAAGAAGTATCCCATTCTTTCACTTGCCATCAACCTGTTGTGCAGATAAGAAAACTGACACTCAGACAGTAGCTATAGCAAGAGATAGGGAGCCCAGTCTGACTTGGGTCTTGAGGGAACCCAATGAAGTAGAAAATAAACCAAGCTAAGCCAAGAGGGGTGGGACCAGGGTAGCAGGGTAAGGGGGGAACAACAAGGACCAGGGTGGCAATGGGGGTGGGGAAGAGATGACAAAAGAAGAAGTTTTGGGCTTGAGACAGTAAGGAGCCCCAGTGGGCTTTGGAAAAGGGGAGAAGCCCCCAAGAACCGCAGACTGCTAGGCAGAGTGCCTATGAGCATGAGCTCTGAAGCCCCACTGCCTGGGTTCAAGTTACTCTCTGCCATTCAGGACAAGTTATCAATTCCTCTGTTCATTAAGAAGGGGATAATGAGAGTACAGTCCTCACAGTTGCTACAACAATGAAATTAGTTAACGGATGTAACACACTTTGCACATAGCAAAAACTCAATAAATATTAATCCGTATACTTTTTGCTATTAACTCTAGGGTGGGCTAGAAAAAAAAGAAGAGGTTGGAGTCAAGGATGCTGATCAAAAGACTGCCACCTCTGTGCCTCAGTTTCCCATTTGAATCACCTGCTCTCCGGGGGGTTCTCCTTTCCAGCTCTATGAGGTGTGGGAGCCCACGGAGCACTGGAAAGAACACCCACTAAAACTCGGTGCCTGCCTCATCATTCAGCAAATGTTTTTTGAACCTCTACTGAGTGCCAGGCCCCAGGGATATATGGAAAAACAAGACAACCCCACCCCATGCCTCCTTCGTAAAGCTCTAGACTGCAGGAAAAGACCAGGAGGAAACAGGCAATTACAATGCAGGCTGATCTTAGCCTGACCTGGTGTGGAGTCAGGGAGGGCTTCCCAGAAGAGGCAATACCCATGGGACGCCTGGGTGCCTCAGTCGGTTAAGTGTCTGCTTTGGCTCGGGTTGGGATCCCAGGGTTCTGGGGTGGAGTCCCAGGTAGGGTTCCTTGCTCAGCGGGGAGCCTGCTTCTCCCTCTGCCTGCCGATACCCCTCCTTATGCGCTCTCCCCCCCACCCCGCCGACAAATAAATAAATAAAATCTTAAAAAAAAAAAAAAGAGGCAACACCCAAGCTGATACTTGAGGGTTGTAGTTTGTCAGGGGCTGAAGAAGGAGATCAGGAGGAACAGCATGTGCTCAACAGGGGGAGGGGGCATGACCAAATTGTTGCTCTAGAATGATCCCTCTAGCATGTGTCCTAGATATACTTGCATATATGCAAAATTCCAGATGGACAAGGCCACTTACCCTTGTAGTTGTTCCATTGTCTGTAAGAGCAAGAGATTGGTAACAATCCTTCGCAAGCCTTCATCTATCCGCGGGGGGCCTGCTTAAATAAACTCTTGCACATTCATGGCATGGTAAAGCTATGATATTCTGCAACTGAAAGCAAAGGAGGAAGCTCTTTATGCACTGATGTGGAAAGATTTCTAAGGTATCTTGCCAAGTGAAAAAGCAAGTTGGAGGACAATGTGTAAAGTGTGCTACTTTTTGTGTAAAAAACAAAAAAAAAGGAAAAGGAGACTATGAATTTTTTTTTTATTTAAACATGCAGAGAGAAACTCAAGGATAGACTAGAATAGCCATCCAGTAGAATTTTCTGTGATGATAGAAATGTTCTATATTTGTGCTGACCAACAGTGTAGCCACTAGCCACACTTGGCACTTATAATGTGACTAGTGTGACTGAGGAACTGAATTTTCTTTCATTTAACTTAATTATGAAATTTAAATCTAAATAGCCACATGTGGAGGGACGCCTGACTGGCTCAGTTGGAAAAGCATGCAACTCTTGATCTTGGGGTCATGGATTCCAGACTCACGTTGGGGGAAGAGATTACTTATAAGTGAATGAATGATTACTTATAAATGAATGAATGAATGAATGAACTTTAAAAAGCCACATGTGGAAAGGGGAATTTACCAGCTCAGAAGACAATGCTGTCACCCAAGCAGGGGTGATGATGGGTGGGACAAGGGTGTAGACCGAAGTGGGTAGATTCAGGAATATTTGGGGGGATTGGATGGCTGATCAGATGTGGGTTGATCAGTGAGTGCAAGGATGGAGTTAGAAGGGCACCTGGCTGGTTCATTCTGTAGAGCATGTGACTCTCGATCTTGGGGTTGTCAGTTCAAGCCCCACATTGGGGTAAGATTTTATTTAAAAATAATAATAATAATAAATAAGTAAATAAGAACTTACAGACTAGATGTTCAAGTTTCTGGCCTAAGCAACTGATAATGGTGCCATTTTCTGAAATGAAGAAAATAAAAAGAGGACAGGTTGGAGAAGAGCAATGATGACTTTGGTTTTGGATGTGCTTGTATTTTGAACATTTTGAGGTGCCTGTGGGACATGTGAATGAATGCCGAGGCTCAGGTGCAGTGAAGTCGTAGGGAATCAGGCTGTGGGAGAGGTCTGGGCTGCACACAGGCATGAGGACCCTAAAGGGAGGGACATCCGTGTTAGCTTCCCATATCATCCTGCTTCCCACTAGAGATGGAAGAAGGAAGTTGCCACTGGTTGGAGAGGAAGAATAAAGGAGAAGTGGTGGCCCCTTCAAGCATTTTACTTAATAGTTCCCATCTCTGTGGACTGGTTTCCTGGGGAGAGAAGTAAAAGCAGAGGGGTGAGGCCTGAGTACAGGGCATGGAGGAGAAGCTTCAGGGACCCAGCTGTGTCATTTCATGAGTTTCCAGACAGTTGGGAGGCAGGGGGAGTAAGAGGAACAAGATACCCTGTCTAGCCCTGGTGGTTCCTCGTGGGCCCGGCAGTGAGAAAACGTGGAGACGGGAAAGTAAGATGTCAGTGGCCCAACCCCTGTGGTGAAAATCTAAGAGAGCACCTCCATCCTGCATCACTCCACAAATCAATGAGTCTGTGAAAGTTTCAACAAGAGCAGCTGAAAAGCTCAATTACAAGTAGCCAATGAGAACTTCAAAAGGAAATGATAATAAGTACAGCTATGAGAGTAATAATAATAATCCCCTTGTCCCAAGAGCTTAAGAA